CAACAACAAAAAACTTGATTTTGTACATTTTTATAAGACTTAGCAATATAGAAAAAATAAATAACTCATTTCTTAGGGAATTTAATCATTATAAACCTTCATTTTATCTTAATTTATTTCAGCAAAACAATGTCCAATAAAACATAGTCTGATCATTTGGTTTATCTTATTAAGTGAAGCTTTCCCCACCTTTTTTTTCCTCCTTTTTAAATTCTTAATAATTCTTTCCATGCTCAAGTTTCTGTGAATGCCGCCTWCTTTCTTAAACACTAAAACCACACTTTCTATCTCCCAGGACCCATGCAGCTATCTCACACAGATAAGCCATGACACAGACAGTAAGCACTGGAGGAATTACCAAGTCTTTATGCACCCAGCAAAATGATTTCAAAACATCCACTCTATTAGTGTGAAGATAACAATTAGAGCAGTGAGTTTGCCACTTCAGATAAGAYGAAGGAAGACAGGCGGTGCTGTGGCTTTTTGTAAAGATGTGTAGCTCAGATATGTATGTCTTGTAATACCAGAGTTCTATTATACTCAGATTAAATGGTTGCTATATCAGTTTAACAGCTCTACACTTCTGTCCTGAATGATGCTTATTATACATGTAATGTGTCTTCACACAAATGGTTTGAAAACTTGCAGTCATTTTTGATAAGTGTAAACAAGTAATAGAGACTTTATTCACGAGGTTTGCATTGCCTTACACCTTTAATTACATAATATTGCAAATAAGCACAAAGGGTGCCTTTTATATTTATTTTTCTAAAACTCACCTGTTGGTGGCAAAACTGTATTTTGCCACCCAGTCAGTCAACGTAGGAAATAGGGGGGACGACGGTTGATAAATAAATCAAGCTGGATAATCTGTTTGACGGGCGGACATTACAGCATGTAACTGAAGCCGCTGGTGTCTGATGACTCTGGATACCACCTACACATCACCTGACTCTTTAATCTTTAATAGCATTTCCTCTGGACCCCAGACCTCCATAAAAAATCGATAAAACRTAGTCTGTTAGACACTGTCGGCTCATAAATGCAACATGGCAGATATCAATGGCGCAGCATATCAGCCTGCATGAAACAAGTGCACAGTTTTCACAGCCTCGGCAGACACCATTCTCCACCC